GGCGGGGCGTGTGCCGGGTGTGGGCTGAGGGGGTTTTACGTGGGGTTTAGAGGATGGTTTGGACAGGGGTGGTCCTGCCTCCAGCAGCTCCCTGCCAGCCCTGCCTCTCTGGGACTCCAGGGAGCTGGGGTGGCGGTAGTGCTTGGGTGGGGAGCTGCGGGTCAGGAGTGAGGGGCACCCGACACTGTGCTGGGCCCAGCTGCGCCCCGCTCAGGTGTGTGGGCACTGACCCGGCCCCTGCCCCTGCCCCTCTCCCCTCAGGGCTCCAACGGCACCTTCGAGCTGTCCCTGCAGGGCCCGGGTGCAGCCGCCTTCTCGGTGCTGCCCTCGCGGGTCACAGGGGAGGGCGAGGTGCAGGTCCTGGTGCAGAACCCGGCCTTGGTGGATTACGAACAGTTTGATGTGATGACCGTGGAGGTGAGAGCCCGGTGCCGGGGCCAGCACCCCTGCTGCCGCCTGCCCGACCCAGCCTGGGCAGCAGGATGTGCCCCAGCCCCTCGCAGCCCCTGCTGGGTCCTGTAGTGACGACACAGCGGGGGCATCACCCAGGGACGGGGATGGGACTTCTCCCAGCACCCTGGAGCGATCCTTACTGGACATACCAGCCAAGCCCCCGCAGTGCCAGCACCAGGCGGCCAGAGCTGCACGGCGCGTAGGAGCCATCCCTGTCCTTGGCTGGGAAGAAATCGGTGCTGGGCAGGAGCTGGCCCGGGGCCGGCAGGGTGGGAGCAGCCCGGGAGCCCCCACGTCTCTGCCCCTGGTTGGGGTGGAGGGGGGGCATACAATCCTCGTCCCCCCCTGCAGATCGTTGCCAATGACACGAGGAACCCGGCAAACTGCTGCTCCGTGGCCACAGTGACCATCCAGCTGGAGGACACCAACGACCACAGCCCCACGTTCAACCAGAGTGTGTACAAGCTGTACGTGGTGGAGAACAGCCCGCCCGGCACCGTCATCTCCCGCGGCATCACGGTGAGGGGCTGGCCTGGCCCCGGGGTCGCCCCCGGCTGCCTCGGCCCAGACGGGCTCTGCTGGGAGCTTCCCCGTGGCGTGTCTCCCCTGAGCCCCAGGTGGGGCGGGCGGTCGGGGGTCCCTTTGTGCCCCAGGCTGTCCCAGGCTAGTGGATAAACCCAGTGTCTCTCGGGGCCGCTGCAGGCCACTGATCCAGACACCGGTGCCTTCGGCAACATCTCCTACCAGCTGCTGCCTGAGAGCATGTACGTATCCCCCCCCTAGCCTCCCTTCCTGCCCCAGGGGCTAGGCCACGGAGGGGTTGGGGACAGCCCCAGTCACGTCAAGTCCGTCTGTCCGTCACTGCCGCAGCCAGGACATCTTTGCGGTGAACGCCGTGAGCGGGGAGGTGCTGGTGCGGAACGGGAGCCTGCTGGACCGCGAGATGCGGGCCGTGTACTACGCCACACTGCAGGCCACAGACGGTGCCCACCTGACGGGCTCCACCCTGCTGGAGATCGCCCTGGAGGACGACAACGACAACGCCCCTGTCGTCACCGGCACCTACAAGGTCTTCGTGGTCGAGGACCAGGAGGACGTTTCCGTGCAGATCCAGGTGAAACGCGCCACAGCGGCTCCGCCTGCGGGGGTGGCCCTAGGGGCGCCCAGTGCCCGTTCTCCTGCTCCGGGTCCCTCCGTTGGGCCCCTCCTCTCGCCTGACACATCTACGTGCCAGAAGCGAGTGAATTTGTGAGGCTGCCTTCAGATCCCTGGAGTTTGGCTACCAGTTCCCTGCCTTGCCCGTCATGAAGCTGCCCAGGGCTGCCACCGGGTCCCAGGCGCTCGGTGGGCTCTACTGGGGCCTGAGCCCCTTGCAGCATGGAGCATCTCCGAAGCACCCCTGGGACCCCTAGCACCGGTCAGCGTGGTCAGGCCTCGGCCCCTCCTCCCAGAGCGCCAGCCCCCGAGTCCCAGACCACTGCCTTTCCCACAGGCCCCTCCGAGCCCTTGCTCTTGCCCATCACAACCAGGGCACCTGCCCCTCCAGGCTCTTCTCCAGCACTAGCCCCTGTCCCCCAGCTCCAGGCCGTGGCAGGCTCAAGACACGCCCCAGCTCAAGACAACAGCAAGCATCCTTGGGCTGGGAAGCAGGGTCTTCCCCAGGGCTGCTGTGTTTTCTGCCTTGCGGTACCTGCTTACTGGCTCCAAGCCAGCTCCAAGCCTCGAGCACGGCCGGGCTGGGCTGTCCCCCGGTGCCCGTGTCCCGCATGGGCGCTTCTCTCACGACACATCCCGCCACCCCAGGCAAGGGCTCACGGGGGAGCTCAGGCTGGCAGGACCCTCTCAGCAAAGCAACTCCTGGGAGAAAGGGTCCTGGCCCCCCTCACTGGCACCGGGGGGCCCCAACCCTGCGCCCTGACCCCTGCAACTGCTTGCCCCCAGGCCTACGACAACGACGAACCGGGCACCAACAACAGCCGCCTGCGCTTCATGCTGGAGCCAGGGCCTTTCAGTGCCAACTTCACCATTGACCCGGACACGGGGCTGCTGCGTAGCCTTGGGCCCCTGGACCGCGAGGCGCTGAACGAGACGTGGCACGGGCAGATGGACGTGACGGTGCGTGTCCAGGACAGCGGCCAGCCCCCGCGCAGCACCCTCGTCAACATCACCATCACCGTGGAGGTGAGCAGAGGCTGGGCACAGGCAGGCAGGCAGGCACGGGGTAAAGCCTCCCCGGCCCACGGGCACCCCTGGCCCTTGCCCAGCGACCCTGAGTCGCACCCTCCCGCTTTGTCCCCGCAGGATGTGAACGACAACGCGCCCGTCTTCATCGGGCTGCCCTACATTTTTGAGGTGCAAGAACGCCCGGCAGGTAGGGCGCCATGTGCGGGGCTGGCTCCGTGCCTGGAGGGGGCTGTGGGGTGGCCATGACCTGCTGATCTTGCTCTCTTGTCCCCCTGGCTGCAGGGGCTTATGTGGGTAGCGTGGAGGCTGTGGACGCCGACCAGACGGATGTAAACCACCGCGTCTCCTTCCTCTTCGGCAACGGGAGTGGGTCCAGCAACTTCCTTCTGCGCACCCACCGCCTGGGCCCCGGGCACTACCAGGGCCTCCTCTCGCTGGCCCCGGACGTGCCACTGGACTACGAGCAGCTGTCGCAGCCAGTTTTCAACCTCACGGTGCGGGCTGAGAATGCAGCCACAGATGACGCGCTCACCGTGGTCAGCACCGTGGTGCAGGTGTACATCATAGATGTCAACGACGAGCCCCCGACCATCCAGCCCTCCCCGCTGCCCGACGCCCGCGTGGCCGAGAACAGCACTGGGCCCCAGCTGGAGGAGGTGACCACGGTGCAGGCCTCGGACCCAGACACCAACCACACGCTGAGCTTCCAGGAGCTGGGCCTGAGCTGCTACAAGGGGGCAGCGCCCGTGGGCTCCGTGTGCCACGGCTGGTTCCACCTTGCGCCCAACGGCTCCGTCTTTGCCAACCGCTCTGAGGTCGACTACGAGGTCTGCGACCTGGCACTGCTCGCCCTGCGCGTCCACGACAACTCCACCAAGTCTGGCAATGCCTACAGCCAGAACGGTAGGGCATGGCTCCCGCCCAGCAGGAGATGCGACCTGGGGGGGGCAGGGGGCAGGAGCACCAGCTGGGGGGGTCCAGGCTGCTCAGCAGGGAGCACTGCGGGGCAGGGGGAGAGTGCCCAGGTGCAGGGGGGTGTGCGGACCGAGGGAAGGGCGAGCAGGATCCCTGTCCTGGGTGCCGGGGGGACACGGTGGGGTGGAGGCGGCTGGTGGCAGGCGGGGGAGGCCGTGCTCTGTGATCAGAGCTTCTGCTTTGGGGCCCGCGGCAGAGACCCTGAGAATCATCGTTGAGGACGTGAACGACAACAGCCCCGAGTTCCTGCCCATCACGGACACTTTTGGTGAGGCCACAGGCGTGCGTGTGTGTGTGCACATGTGTGCTTGTGCGTGTGCGTGCGCATGCGTGGGCAGTTACCACTGCCCAGCTGCTGCTGGGAGCCCAGCCCTGCTCCTGGCTCACCCGGACTCTGTGCTTGGGGTGGAGGGACCCGGCAGCGCTGGGTTCGGGGCTCCCCGAGGGGTGTATTTGGTGCCCCACTCCCTGGGCAGCACTGCCGTGGGCACGGAGCCCAGTCTGCCATCCCCACTTAGGGCCCCAGACCTGGGTTAATGGGTGCAGGAAGCCCCAGGGGCTGCAGCTGCCAGTGTGACCCAGCGTCTGTCTGTCTCCTCACTCGCAGTCGTCATCCCCGACCTCTCCCCCATGGATCTGCAGGTGGCCGTGGTCAGGGTAAGGCCCCTGGGCGGCGTGGCATGTATAGGGGCTGCCCCTCCTGGAGCAGGGGGCACGGGGCAATCGGTGACATCTCTGCTCCCCCTGTAGGCCACGGACGTGGACACGGGGCCGAGGGGTGTCATCACCTTCACCATCCTCCGCGTCATCTTCATCCAGGACGGGGGCCTCGAACGCCCCTTCGAGAACCTCTTCAAGGTGGTGACCACGGCCAAGGACGGCGTCTACGTCGGCAGCATCCAGTGAGCCCCGGGGGCCCTGGCCCTGGCCCGGCCGGGCACCAGGCTCATGGGCGGGGGCTGGGTGGGTCTCTGCAGGGTCCGGGCCTGGGCCCACGGCGGGGAATCGGGGCGTGCATGGGGCTGCACTGAGCCCAGCTAGGTCCCCAGGACTTGGCACCGGCACGGGGGGCAGGCAGAGCTGCTGACCCCTGCCACCCTCCAGGGTTGCCAGCAACCTCGACGGGTCGCTGAAGGGCCAGTACCGGGTGACGGTGGAGGCCAAGGATGGCGAGTCGCCAGTGCTGAGCACGCAGGCCGTGCTGGATGTGAGTCCCCCCACGGCCCCCAGCTGGCCTGGCCCCTGGCCTGCTGCAGGGGTGCCCGGCTCAGCCGCTGCCCCCCTCTCCCCCAGATTTTCACTGTGGACCAGAGCTACCGGATCCGGCTGCAGTTCAAGAGAGCTGTGGATGAAGTGCAAGCCAACACCGACCAGATCAAGATGTAAGGGGCCCCGGCAGCGTTGGGGTGGGGGGGCATGGCTCCTGCTAGCTGGGCATGGGCGCGGGCCCACGCCGCCCTGTGCCAGACCACGGGGCTTCGGCACAGCTGACCTGCCAGGCTCCCTTCCTCCCTGCAGGGCCCTGATGGCGGCGACGAAGACGACGGTGTACGTGGCAGCCATCCGGGCCCTGGTGGCTGCCCCAGCATCCAGATCTGCCAGGTGCGCCCAGCCTGCATGGACGCAGAGGGCTTGCTGGAGCTGCCAGCTGGGCAGTGCCCACCCCACGGACTTGGCTACAGCAGCCCTGAGCTTGCCAGGGCCAGGGCCTGGGGCAGGGGCCCCGGCTGAGCGGTGTCTGCCCCTTGCTCACCCAAGCCCCCTCGTGCCCGCAGGGCTGCAGCGCAGTCCGTGATGGAGGCGTACTTCGTCTACAGCAACGGGACAGCCCTGGAGTTTGGCCAGTTCAGCACGTGAGTGGGGGGCACCGGGGAGGGGTCTGCAGGGCGCAGGGGCCCTGCCACGGGCTCACGTCGCTCGCGTGTCTCCGACAGCATCGTCCAGAGCGACCCACAGGCCCTGATGGAGCTGGTGCAGCTCGGCCTCGCCGTCATC